GTGTCCCTGCAGAATGCGCGCAAGGGCACGGGGGAGGCTTTTCTGTCCCCCCTGGCCGTTCGCCATGCGATGTGCTGTACCGTTTAGCTGCGTCTCGGCGCGAATTGGGCCCATGTGGCAGGTTCGACATGGGGTTTCGCGGCGCCTTGCTCGGCGGCGCTGGTTACGCTGCCAGCCCTGGAACTCGGGCCTCGGAGTTCCGTCGCGCAGGCGTCGTTGGCCGTCCTTTTCGCTGCCTCGTGCTGCTCACACCCCCTGTTGCACGGCCGTGGGGCGATGTCTCCCCTGCGGTGACCGCTGCTCAGGGGGCCGCCCCCACTGTCATGTGAGCGCGTAAGGGCACGGAGGAGACAACCGTCCTCCCTGACCATTCACCCTCTGGACTGCTGGATAATTTGCCGATGGCCTTGGCGTGAGATGGGCTCACGTGGCAGGTTCGATCTGGGGTTTTGCTTCGTCCTGCTCGGCGGTGTTGTTTACGCAGCCAGCCTTGGAACTCGGGTTTCGGAGTTCCGTCGTGCAGGCGCCGCTGGCCGTCCTTTTCATTGCCCCGCGTTGTCCTCGCCCCCCTGTCGCACGGCCGTGGGGTGATGTTTCCCTTGCGGTGACACCTGCTCTTGGGGTCGCCACTTGTTGTATACATTGCGCGGCAAGGCGCGGGGGATGATCTTGCCCTCCCCGACCGCATGCCCTGCTGCGGCCTTCTGGATTGTTTTTCTCTTGCACTGTCCCTGGCCTTGCACGCCAGATTGTGATGGTGGCAACCCACTTGGGTGGTGGGTGCGGTGCGCGGCCAGGCTTGCACCTGGGGTCCGCCAGTTCTGCCCCATGCTTCATGCTCCTCCCCCCCCCCACACTTCCCGACGCAGTTTCAAGAGTCGCGCGGGGCACCCCGAAAGAGAGAGAGAGAGAGGAGTGGCGCCCAGAAGCGCGCGAGAGACGGCCCAGAAATCCAGGTTCTGGGGCACTCAACGCTCAATACCCATGACTCGAATGGACGCGAGGACACTCCACTCAGTCATTACGTCACGGTGGCGGGTCGATGGCGATCACAGAATATAGCGTCGTGTTGTAACACTCGACTTCACCATTATGCTGAAGGGTTTTTGAGCCTGATCAATGTGCGAGGCTCGGGGGGGTCAATATGTGAGGTTCGGGGGGCCCGAAAAGGAGCGAAGCCCACCCGTCGCGTCTTGCTCACGGCCCCCCAAGTCTGAAGGAGGATGGGCAAGAGGAGGAAACGAGGAAACCTTCGGGCCAGAACGCGCTCCTCAGGCGGCCGCCTGGGACGATCCCGCGAGGCGCAGCCGATAGAAACCGCCCCGCGGCACCGGAAGCCGCCCTACGACCCCCGAAGGCCTCCGAGAACCTGTCGCGCTTGTGCCCCAGAAGGCCTCTGGTGGCAAAAGAGAGCCCAGCACGTCCAATCGGCAAACGTCGCTCTGTCCGCACACTGCTGCGGCCTCCCACGTTGGGCGGCGGCGGCGACAGGGCATGTCGTGGACAACCAAACCAGTCCTCCAGAGTCCCGGTTTTCTGTCCATAGGTTACGGCAGCAGCAGGGGCATGGACAACACATCGGTCGCGCATCCAGAAAATACGACCTCCCGACGCCTTCTGGCGGCGAGGTTCCCAGAGGCCACCAGAGACCTTCGGACATCCCTGCAGGCCCCCCGAAGTCCAAAATGGGCCTCAAGCCGAGCCGAGTCACACGTCAAGCCACCCCACACGCACGAAGGCGGGCTTCATAACATACCAAAAATGCTTTGGAGTATTATCACCGTCGACGTCCTTTCCCTTCCCCCCATTCCACCGCCCCTGCAGGCCTCGGAAGAAGTGAGCGAACAATCATGCCACATTCATCTACCAATGCCCCCCCTCCTGATCAAGGTTGGCGGTGAGTTTCATAAGTTGCACTTCGACTGGAGTTGTCCCCGCGCGTGCCAACTTGAATTTGCGGAGAGGAGGAGTGTCCACTACTTAATTGGTTCTCTCTGCAGTCAACCCGCATAGAAAGGATGGGTACAACCTGCGCAAGGGTACCCTTGCATCCTTGCCCCTTTGGCCCATCATTGGCGAGTTTCGCTGTCCAGCCTCGTGCGGCAATCGTCCACATGGGCCTCCAAGGCCCTCGCATCCTTACCGCGCATCCTTATGATACAATGGCCGAAAGTCCGTACAAACGGCGATCTCGCTTCGGCGCGGGCAGCACACCGCCAGCGCCACTTGGACGCCGTGGCCAGTTTAAGAGCGAATCGTGGGGATGTCTCCGCAGAAACCGGCCTTTTTGGTTCAGATGGGGGGTTGGACGACATGAGCGAATCAAACGCACGTTTGACGAAAGTCAAAATCGAAGCGATGTCCCAGCTGATTGGGCCAGTACGGGTTGATTGTATCGTGCCATCGCTCCCGGCAGACTGCGCGTGCAACGAGGCTGTGGGCCCAGGGCCGGGGCCGGCTCGGCCGGCGGGCCAGGATTGGCGCGCATTGTGGCCCGACGGCTGCACCCCCCCCCCCACTTGGCGCACACTGATCCTCGTCCTCCTCCTCCTCCTCCTCCTCCTCCTCCTTCTTCCCCCCCTCCTCCTCCTCCTCCTCCTCCTCCCCCCCTCCTCTTCCTCCCCCTCCTCCTCCTCCTCCTCCTCCTCCTCCTCCTCCTCCTCCTCGTCCTCCTCCTCCTCCGCCTCATCATCATCATCATAACCATCACCAGCACCATCACCGTCACCATCACCATCACCATCTCCATCACCTCCTCGTCATCATCATCAGCAGCATCATCAGCAGCGTCAGCATCAGCATCATCATCATCATCATCATCATCATCATCATCATCATCATCATCATCATCATCATCATCATCATCATAATCATCATCATCATCAGCAGCATCATCAGCAGCATCCCCATCATCACCATCATCAGCATCATCAGCATCCGCATCAGCATCAACATCATCATCATGATCATCATCAGCAGCATCAGCATCGTCGTCATCATCATCAGCACCAGCATCAGCATCAGCATCCCGCTCGGCCTGCCCCGCGCCCAAAACTTCTCAGAAGACCCGGGGACTGAAGGCCCGCCCCTTCTCGCTCCCCCCCCTCGCTCGCCGCCGACTGAGTGCCGCCGAGCGGTCTGCACGTCAGCAAGCCCGAGGCTTAGTTCACGTTCGTTGGCACCGTCGTGCGGCTACTCCCGCTCCTGTGCCGCGTCTCGGCGCTGTCCCCCCCCCCCGCATCGATCCCCGCGGGGGGCTGCTTCGCGGACACCTGAGAGTCCCGAGTCCCCACTCCACCGTCCTGCTCCCGTTCCTGCTCTTATGATCGTTCCGATTCCTGTTCCTGGCCATGCAGTTATTTTCCTGTTCCCTCTCCCTAGTCGCATGCCTTCAGCCATTCCTGTTCCTGCCCTCCTCCTCTCCCTCCCCTCGTCGGGGCACCCTGTCCGCGCCGCGACGCCCTGCCCATCGGCCCCTCTCGGCGCCACCGCCGAGAAGCTGCTGCAGGCCCGCCCCCCTGGCGGCGAGGTCCAGGACCTGGCCGCGAGGCTGGCCGACGCGGAGCGGAGCGCGCCCGCCGACGGCGCGTCGGACTGCGACGAGGAGCGGCGGCGAGCGCAGGGGGGGAAGCGAGAAGAAGAAGGCCTTCTCAGCAAGTCGGCGTGTCCCTCTGCAGGAGGAGTATTCAAAAATACTCCAAAACATGCTTGGGGTACGTTCTACGGTTCCTCCAGAATCCCCTTCGGAGGGGGACAGGCCCGACCTGACCGCATTGAGAATATCAGGACACCGCATGCCTGGGAGGGACACAGGGTTGGACCTAAACTGTGTTTTTGGTGATCTCGTGGGCCGTTTTCGTTTCGACTTCGTTTTGCGGCAGAGGCGGATTGGAGGCAAAAGCGAGGGAGAACGAAAACATAACGAAAACGAAAAACACCGTTTAGGTTCAGCCTTGTCTCAGCAGTCGGCCTGTCGAAGAAGAAACAACGGCATAGACTTGAGTCGGGCGTGTCCCTCTTCAGGAGGAAAAAAAAAAAAAACAAAAAAAAAAAAAAAAAAAAAAAAAAAAAAAACTGGTCAGGGAACGCTTGTTTGATCAGTTGGCGCGCGGAGCGCCGAAAGTTTACGTTTATGCAGTTTCTCGTTCCTCTGACCTGGCTTCTCAGAAGGCCGTTGGCCCTCCGAGATGTGTTCTGCGTTTTCGGGGGAGGCTTCGGAAGCTGCCCAGAAGGCCGGGGACGTCCGAGTTTCCTGAGAAGGCCCGCTCCTTCGCGCTTCCCGCCCAGGGCTCGCCGCCGAGAGGAGTCGCAGGAGGCCGAGGACCCTGGCGGGCAAAGTCGGCGGGGGCCCCAGGCCAGGTGGTGGCGACACTCGGGCAGTGAGAGGGCCGCAGACACGCAAACGGCGATGTGGGCAACGGCGGTGTAGGTATCGTAGGTGTGTGTGGTCCGTGGCCAACCCAATGGCAGGAAAGGCTTGTTCGTGTGTTCCTATGATGTGGTCTGAGGTCGGCGTCGCAAGAACAGATGTCCAACATCGCCGTCAACCGACATCGCCGCTGGCGTGGCCTCGGGAGATGTTCGTGTTGTCCTATGGTGTGCTCTGCGCGAGGTCGGCGTCGCAAGAACCATATTCCCGACAGCACCGTTGACCAACATCGCCGTTGGCGTGGCCCCGGGAGCGGAGCGGGCGCCTTCGCCCGGTGTCGAGCCGCGTGTCTTCGCCAGGGCTCGGGCTTGGGGGCCCGAACAGATATTCCAAGCGTCTCACTAAGCGTCGGGGAGGGGGGCGTCACCCCCGCCGACGGCCCCACATCGACCCCCCGTCGCAGGCAGCAACCGCGCGCCGAAGGCGCTCCGATCCCCCGTCGCGGCGCGACGACGAGGCGAGGTTAGAACCCCCGTCGGGGGGGTACCCCCCACGCTTATTCAGGAACCCAGAGTAAGTGGATGCGGCTCGAAGGTGATGCAGAATGTTCGGGTCCGGGGTTCTGGCCATGACGTTTCACGATGTGGCAGTTGTTGCGCGACGTCGGACCTCAGGGGAGCGGCGAGCCCAGGGGGAGAAAGCGAGGGAGGGGCAGGCCGCCTCGGAGGGCGGCGGGGCCTCGCAGAGGCCCGCGCGTGTTCTGAGAAGCCGTCCGTGGTCTCTGAGAAGGATTGCACGCGGGGCTTCTCAGCATACGCGAGGGCTTCTGAGAAGCCCCGCGGCCTTCCGAGAAGGCCTGCCCCCCCCCCCCCCCTGCTTCCCCCCTGGACTCGCCGTTCCCCTGAGACCCGACGTCGCGTAATCTGAGAAGCCCCGTATGCAAGCATCCTCCTCCTCCTCCTCCTCGTGCTCCTTCTCCTCCTCCACCTCCTCCTCCTCCTCCACGTCCTCCTCCTCCCCCTCCTCCTCCCAGCCCAACCCGATGGCCCCATGTTGCCCTCCATTCCCAGTGGGGCGGGGGGCGGGGAGCATTGAAAAAAACCATATGAAGCCCGCACCTGCGGGCAGCCCAGGACAGGCACTTTGGAGGTACCTGCGGGCAGCCCAGGAAAAGGCATTTGGGAGGTACCTGCGGGCAGCCTAGGTACCTGCGGGCAGCCAAGGAAAAGGCATTCGGGAGGTACCTGCGGGCAGCACAGGTAAAGGCACTTTGGGAGGCGCCTGCGGGCAGCACAGGAAAGAGGCACGTGGAAGGTGCCTGCGGGCAGCCCAGGAAAGGCACGTGGGAGGTGCCTGCGGGCGCCTAGGTAAGGCACTTGGGAGATACCCCCACACACTGGGAATGGAGGGCAACATGGGGCTTTGGGGTTGGGTTGGGAGGAGGAGGAGGAGGAGGAGGAGGAGGAGGAGGAGGCGGAGAAGGAGGAGGAGGAGAGGAGGAAGGGAGGGAGGAGAGGAGGAGGAGGGGAGGAAGGAGGAGGGGAGGGGAGGGATGGGAGGAGTCCGGAGGAGAGGAGGAGGAGGAGGGGAAGGAGAGGAGGAGGGGGAGGGGGAGGTGGGAGGAGGGAGGAGGAGAGGAGGAGGGAGGGAGGAGGAGGAGGAGGATCAAGTGGAGGAGGAGGAGGAGGAGGAGGAGGAGGAGGAGGAGGAGGATCAAGTGGAGGAGGAGGACGAGGAGGAGGAGGAGGAGGAGGTGGAGGAACCCGAAATTCGAGTCTTGGGGTTGGGCTGGGGTGGTCTGGTCGGTGGTCCGTGGGGCGCCGGGGTGGCCGCACGGCGTCGGGGCCCGGGCCGTCGTGCTCCGGGGGGCGGGGCCTCTCGGGCGCCCGGGGGCCCTGCCTCGGGAGCCCCCAGGGCGGTGCGGCAGCCGGACCGCGCGGTGGTGAGGCCTCTTGGGGGGCCTGGTGGGCCCGGTCGACGGCGGGGAGGCCGCGGGGCGGAGGGTCTCGTCGCGTCGGGGGCCCCAACAGAGAGAGGCACGTTTTGTCGAGTGGGGAGCCCCAGGGAAGAAACGACCAGGGGGGGGGGCCGAGAGCCAGGTCGACGGCGGGGGTTCGGGGCTCAAGAGACGGGGGTCACTGCAAACGGGGGTCAGCCAGGGCACCAGATCCTGCAGGATCCTGCGAATACCCCCTCTGGCTGACCCGGGTCAGCGAGCCGCTCGTGGCCGCGAGGTGGCCGCGCATATTGGTTGACCCGGGTTTGCGAAGGTCTCCGTTGCAATTTTTTTTCCTGCATCGCAGTTTTTGGTTTCCTGCTGACCTTTGGGGGGATCCGAGGTCACCCGGGCAGAGGAGGGCAGGGTGTCCAGCAGTGGCGAAGTGTCCTGGCTCGCCTCCCTCCAGGCCCACCAGAAAATGTTCGAAGAACCTGCTGTGGTCTGCACGAGATGTTCTCGGAGCATTTCTGCTTGAGGCTGTCTTGAATTAACACGTCGGGCTTATGTTCTAAGAGTATTGTCGTCGCTCCTAGACTTGGGTGCCAAGAACATGTCCTGGTAGGCCTGTAGGGATGCTGGGGCGGTCGGTCCCCGCTCAAGGGTGGGGGGGTGGCTCGGGCCGTTCTGCGAGGGCGCCTTGGGCAACTGCAGGGGAACAAACAGGGACACAGGCATACAATTAGGTCGGGCGTGTCCCCCTACAGGGGGAGTTGGGGCGAAAAATTAGAAATACCCCGAGAATATTCCAAAATGACCAAAAAAATACTCAAACAATCGTCCCCAGACTATTTCTGGACTATTTTTGAACATTCCTCCTGTAGAGGGACAGGCCCGACTCAAACATACAAACGGAGGGGGGGTGTCCGGCGCCGATCCGAGCAATCCGCGCGGACCTCCGAGCTTTTATGTTTACGCCAGTGCTGGTTTCCCTCAACTGGGCCCTCTGGGGCCCCCGGGCGGTGCGGAGGACGGAGCGTGCGGTGAGGTCTTCGGGGCTTCCAAGGTCACTCGGCCACGCGCAGAGGATCGCCGCCCACCAGGCCACCCCCACCCAGCCCGAAGGCCCCGATTTGCCCCCCTCCATCTTCTGAGCAAAAGAAAGAATGAAGCCCGCACCCCCCCCCCAGCCCGAAATTCGGGTCTTCGGTTTGGGCTGGGGTGGTCTGGTAGGCAGTCAGAGGAGGGCAGAGTGAGGGGGGAAGGCTTCTTGGAAGCACCCAGCTTCTTAGAAGGCGCGGGCCTTCCCTACACGACCACCTTTCGGGTGATCAGGAGGTTTGGGCGGCGGGGGGCGGAGGACCAACTTCTGGTAAACGCGATGGGTGTGATGATGATGATGATGATGATGATGATGATGATGATGATGATGATGATGATGATGATGATGATGATGATGATGATAATTATTGATATTGATGTTGGTGTCGCGCCCTCGACTGAGCGACGACTCGTGATGACGATGTTGCGCTGCGATGTAATGTCACTATGGTCCCTGTGTTCGATCTCGCTCGATCGATCCCACTACCGACCTCACAGGATCGATCCCACTCGATCGATCTCACTACAAGTCCAACAATCGATCTTACTGTAGATCTCACGATTGGTCTCGCTTGAGATATCACGATCGTTCTCACTATTGGTTTCTCTCTCTCACTATCGATCTCAAAACCAATGTCACAATCAACATCGTTGTCGACCTCACTTACGAGTTCACTATCCATCCCATTCTAGCGATTCCATTATCGATTTCACGATCGACTCCACTATCGATACCAACGCGGGACACCCCCGGCCACCGCCCGCCCACCGCCGTCGGAACACTGACGGGACACCGCAGGACACCACGGCGAGACACCCTGGGCCATTGCGCGCCCACCGTGGGCGGAGGGGCGGTCCACTGCATCCGAATCGCCTCAGCGACGGCGGGGTCATAATTCTCGCGCGCCCACGCAGCTCCGCCTCGCTCGCACGCGCGACACGCACACGAAACCGAAGCCGAGTTCCTGGTGGTGGTCGTCTCCGCCCCACTGCGATACCTCAGCCCCCGGCCCCCGATCCCCAGATGCAAGGCCAGCGACTTGTAAGAAGCAGCCTCCTTCCAAGAAGCTTCCCCGCGGCCGCCAGCAGCACGGCGGCGGCCGCGGGGGAGCCCCCAGTCCTGGCCGGGCGCGTGCGGACAGTCAGAGGAATCTCCTTTTCCTCCCCCTCCTCCCCTCCTCCTCCCCTCCTCCTCCCCCCTCCTCCTCCTCCCTCTCTCTCCTCCTCCTCCTTCCTCCCTCCGTCCACCCCCCCCTCCTCCTCCTCCTCCTCTCCTCCCCTCCTCCTAAGAAGCCTCCCCACCCCTTCCATCTACCCACTTTCTGCGCGCCGCCCATCACGGCACGGTCTGCGCCCGCACCGTGTCGGACCCCCCCCCCGCCGGAAAGATCGGCGGGGCCAGAAGCATATGTTCTTGTTCGTCGCGGCGCCGCAGCAGCAAGCGCTCCAGGAGTTTCGGCAGAAGCGTACCAACTTCGGGGGCGGACAGAAACCCCACCCCGACACGTCGAATTGGTGAATTGTCGTTTCGGTCTCTCGAGGGGCGCCGCTCCCGTCATTTCCCAGGCCTGCGCCCGCCAGGTTTGTGAGCGTTTTTTATGCGGCGTTTCGACATCGGGCGGAATGGGTGGGAGGGGGAGGGGTCTGGCTCCAGACCTCTGCTTAGTGCGACTGTTTGCAACAATGCGTCCCATGGGGGAGGGACTCCCCCCGCTCGAAACAGGCGCCAAAAACAGCCAAGATCCACTCTCGGGGGGGGGGGAGGGGGGGTGCAAGGGCCGGCGCCGATCGGCAAAACGATGAATAAAAAAGCGGTCACGTTGGGCCCGAGGTCGCTTTCCCCAAAACCCTTTTTGGCAGAGTGGGCTCTGTCTGTCCATCCCCGATCACTGTCCGGCTGCAAGGGACCCCTCTGCCGGCCGCGGAGCAGGAAGGGGGGGGGGAGTGCGTTCACAGCACGAAGGCCTTCGGTCGGAAATTGGAGCGTATACCAGGCGACCGCAAACGTGGGTCAAGGGGGCGTGGATTAGCGACGGGCCCCGTTTCCTCGGGACCCGTCGCTAATCCACGCCCAAAATCCGCCTGTAGGGGGACACGCCCGAAGGGGGCGTGGATTAGCGGCGGGTCCCGTTTCCTCGGAACCCGTCGCCAATCCACGCCCAAAATCCGCCTGTAAAGGAACACGCCCGACCCCTAACCCTGTCATTTGTCCGGCGGCAAGGGACAGAGAGAGGGCAGAGGGCGGCCGCGGAGCAGGAGGAGGGGGGGATTGAGGAGGGGAAAAAACACACAGACACAATTCATCGTCCACTCCCAGGAACAGATGGGAAAATGTTGGAAGTGGGGGAGAAAGAAAAAAAAACAGAAAATATTGGAAATCATCGGGAATCCTCTTCTTTGTGTGTATTTGTGTGTGTGCGTGTGTGTGCGTGTGTCTGCGTGCGTCTGCGTGCGTGTGCGTGTGTGTGCGCGTGTGTGTGTGTGTGCGTGTGTGTGCGTGTGTGCGTGCGTGTGTGTGTGTGTGTGTGCGTGTGTGCGTGTGTGCGTGTGTGCGTGTGCGCGTGTGCGCGTGTGCGCGTGTGCGCGTGTGTGCGTGTGTGCGTGTGCGCGTGTGCGCGTGTGCGCGTGTGCGCGTGTGCGCGTGTGCACGTGTGCGCGTGTGCGCGTGTGCGCGTGTGTGCGCGTGTGCGCGTGTGTGCGCGTGTGTGCGTGTGTGCGTGTGCGCGTGTGCGCGTGTGCACGTGTGCGCGTGTGTGCGTGTGTGCGTGTGCGCGTGTGTGCGTGTGCGCGTGCGCGTGCGTGTGCGCGTGTGCGTGTGCGTGTGCGTGTGCGTGTGCGTGTGCGTGTGCGTGTGCGTGTGCGTGTGCGTGTTGCGTGTTGCGTGTTGCGTGTTGCGTGTTGCGTGGGGGTCTGGGGTCTTGGGTCTGTGGGTCTGTGGTCGTGTGTCTGTGTGTCTCTCGGTGACTCGTGGTCTCTGTGTGTCTCTGTGTTTTCACTGTTTGTCCTGTGTGTCTCTGTGTGTCTCTGTGTGTCTCTGTGTTCTCTGTGTGTCTTCTGTGTGTCTCTGGGTCTCTGCGTGTCTCGTGTGCCTCTGTGTTGTGTCTCTGTGTTGTCTGTGTGTCTCTGTGTGTCTCTGTGTGTCTCTGTGTGTCTCTGTGTGTCTCTGTGTGTCTCTGTGTGTCTCTGTGTGTCTCTGTGTGTCTCTGTGTGTCTCTGTGTGTCTCTGTGTGTCTCTGTGTGTCTCTGTGTGTCTCTGTGTGTGTCTGTGTGTCTCTGTGTGTGTCTGTGTGTCTCTGTGTGTGTCTGTTTGTCTTCTGTGTGTTGTGTCTTCTGTGTGTCATCTGTGTGTCTCTGTGTGTCTGTGTGTGTCTTGTGTTGTCTCTGTGTGGTCTCTGCTCTTGTGTTCTCTGTGTGTTCTCTGTGTGTCTCTGTGTGTCTCTGTGGTGTCCTCTGTGTGTCTCTGTTGTTCTCTTGTGTCTCTGTGTGTCTGTGTGTGTGTCTTGTGTGATCTCCTGTGTGTCTCTGTGTGTCTGAGTGTTTGTGTCTGTTTGTGTGTTCCTGTGTGTGTGTCTGGTTGTGTCTGTGTGTGTGTCTGTGTGTGTGTCCTGTGTGTGCTGTGTGTGTTGTCTGTGTGTGTGTCTGTGTGGTGTCTGTTAGTTGTCTGTTTTGTGTCCTGTGTGTGTGTGTCTGTGTTTGGGGGGTGTGTTTGTGTGTGTCTTGTGTGTGCTGTGTGTGTGTGTCTGTGTGTGTCTGTGTGTGTCTGTGTGTGTGTGTCTGTGTGTGTGTCTGTGTGTGTGTCTGTGTCTGAGTCTGTGCCTGTGTGTGTGTCTGTGTGTGTGTGTCTGTGTGTGTCTGTGTGTGTCTGTGTGTGTCTGTGTGTGTCTGTGTGTGTATTTGTGTGTATGTGTGTGTATTTGTGTGTGTGTGTTTGTGTGTATTTGTGTGTATTTGTGTATTTGTGTGTGTATGTGTGTGTATTTGTGTGTGTATGTGTGTGTGTGTATCTGTGTGTATATGTGTGTATGTGTGTGTGTGTGTGTTTGTGTGTGTATTTGTGTGTGTATTTGTGTGTGTGTCCCAGGGTCCCTTCAGGGGTGGGAGGGCACCCACAGCACGAGGGTCTTCGCCGGGAGCGGCGGGCCAGAAGAGCACGCGAGACCCTGGCCCTCGGCCCTCGGCTCCACAGAGCCCCGACCCTGGCCCTCGCCCGTTCCAGGGCCCGAGCCAAGCGGCGCCGTAGCTCAGGAGGAGAGAAAACACACAGGCACAATTCATCGCCGATTCCCCAGAGAATCTGGAAAAATCTGGGAAGTGAGGGGGGGGGGGAAGACGAAAAAAAACCCAAAATGTGGGAAAATCGGGGGAGTCTTTTATGTGTGTGTGTGTACTTCTTTGTGTGTCCTGGGGCCCCTTCCACAACACGGGGCAGCGAGCACAGAGCGGGAACGACGAGCACCGTTTGGCTCGGGCCCCGGGCTACGCTGCCGGCCGCAGGAGGCAGGCGCCCAGGCAGCCGGGCGCGTCGAGGAGCTTCGGCCCGCGGGCCCGCGGGCCTCGATCCTCGACGCTCGCTCCATCGGGAGCACCCAGGCATGAAGTCGGGCGTGTCCCCCATACAAAGGGGGATGTCCGACGAAACATAAGTCAGGAGGGGAAAACACACACAGACACAAGGAATCGTCGATTCCCCCGAGAATATGGGAGAATATGGGAATTGGGGGGGAAGACAAAAAAACCAAGAAGATATGGGGAAAATATGGGGAATCTTGTTATTTGCGTGTATTTATTTGTGTGTCCTTGGGCCCCTTCAATGAAACATACTCCAAAAATGCTCCAGAATGGTCAAAAAATACTTTAAGAATAGTCCCCATACTATGTTTTGATTATTGTTGAATGTCCCCCCTGTAGAGGGACAAGCCCGACTTAACCCAAGCACACTCGTGAGCACAGCAGCCCCACAGAAACAACACACGCGCTCAGAGATCTTGCGGCATAGGCTCGGTGGTGGGCGCTCTGTGGGCATACCGCTCGGGCACTGACATGCCGGGAGGTGTGCAGTGGAGACCCATGCCAAGAAGCACCTTGTTCGCCTCCAGGGTGCCCTGGGCTTCTCGGGCTTTGCGATGGTTCTGCGATGGAAAGCGCAGCGTTCCCACACACACCCAGAATCGAGGAGCGTCCTGCGGTCTCAGGGTTGGGTTTCTTACGGGAGGCTTCTTGTGATCGGGACCCTACTGTATGTCATCCCCAGTGGCGCGGGGATAACCGCGCTTCGCGCGTCGCGGTCTGGGTCAGGCTGGCCGTCCCCCTCCAAGGGAGCGGCGCCTGGGCGCGAGGGTGCGAAGATAGCCGCGCAGCGGTATTCTTGGGACTTCTTGAGTTGGTGTGGGCTTCCTGTGAAGGGTGTCTTGGCTTGGGCCTCGTGTGGAGGGTTTCTCTTGTGGACCTGCCTCCACTGCAGGTGTTGCATGACCAGTTCGGACGTGCGCCTCCGAGGAGGGCGCAGAGCACTCGTCGATGCTTCTGCGTCCCACTCGAGTTGATGAGCCCGTTTTTCACCACCACCATCACCACCACCATAAGCAGGAGGAGGAGGGGGGTCTTCCTCCTCCTCCTCCTCCTCCTCCTCTCCTCCTCCTCCTCCTCCTCCTCCTCCTCCTCCCCCTCCTCCTCCTCCTCCTCCTCCTCCTCCTCCTCCTCCTCCTCCTCCTCCTTTCCCCCCTCCAACTTGTGGTGGTAGTGGTGGAAGACATGCCCATCACAAGTGCCCTCGACGGCGACGACGACGACGAGCTATTCGCAGCGACGGCGTCCCGGAGGAGGCGATCATCGCGGAGCTGCAGGCGGCGTGCGGGGAGCTGCTGCCGGAGCTCCAGGGCTGCCGCGGTGCCACGTTCAGCCAGTGCGTGGAGATGTTCCGGGACGGCGGGAGGCGTGCGAGAGAAGTCGGGGGCAACGTCAGGGTTAAGTCGGGCCCGTCTCTCTTCAGGAGGAATATTCAAAAATAGTCAAAAATAGTTTGGGGACGATTTGTTTGACTACTGTTTGTTATTCGTGTGTTTCGACAATTGTTTGTTCTTCGTTCAAAGTCCGCCTGTAGGAGGACATGCCCGACCTATCTTTAGGGACAGATGCAGTCCGGGCGTTCTCGTCGGTTCTCTGCGGCTGTCCAGCCTCGGGATGACGCCTGCCTTGCCGAGCGCGTTCTTGGGGTGCCCGGATCGTCCCGAAGGGCCGCCGCAGACCCAAGCTATGACCCGAGAGCCGGACGACGAGGATTATCGACGAGGATGACCGACGAGGACCGTGGGCATCCTCCCCTCGCTCTTGCCCTCACCATCGGCCTCCAGGGCAACGATAAGAGGACAAGGATCAGGAGGAACCCAGGATGCAGCAGCGCTGCAATTCCCTCGCGCCTCTTCAGGCGATCGCAAACACATGGATCAAGGGGGCGCGGATTCGCGACGGGCCCCGTTTCAACGGGAAATCGCGGCTTGCAGCCGCCGAGCGAGGCGGCACTGGCCGCATTTTGGGTAGGGCATCTCCCCCGATTCATGGAATTGGCGACCGCGCGCCAAATCCATGGATCGCTAATCCATGTTTGCGCGCCCCCGACCTCCCAGGCCCTTCGGGCACTCTGGTGCCTCTTGGGGGCTTCTTGGAGGGCTCTCGGGACCTCGTGGGGGCTGCCAGAGAGGCAGAGATATTTTTGTTTACCATCGCGAAGGAGCCCAGACGTTCCAGGCTGGTTATCCTTGTAGCTTTTGCAAACTGTTGAAGCGAAAATGTGCAACGCTGGGGCGAGAGCCACATTCTGAAAACGGGCCGCCCTCGATCCGCCTCACTGCCACTGCTGGAAGTCACCAGCTCCAGGATGGTAAGCGGTGGGGAAGTCTCGGTCGAAACGCCCGGCCTGCACGTTTGATAGTGCAACGGGGACGCGTCGTACCAGTTGTTTGCGGCACATCCGCCACCTGTTTCAGCGAAGTATTTGTTGTGCGGCGATCCGAGCACCGCCCAGAAGCCCGTCTCATGTGACAGTTCTCATCTCCGCTTATCAGTGAGCTCTCATTGGGCCTTTTCGGCCCGTCTTGGGGCTGTCCCAAGCTCTTGTGGGACAGTGTTGGGGCCGTCTTGGGCCGCCGTTGACCCCTATTGCGCCGTCTTGCGGGGCATCTTGGCCGTCTGGAGGGTCTCGTGAGGCAGCATTTGGGGGTGTGGGGCCGGCCAGCTTGGGGCTCGCTCTTGCGACCGTCCAGGGGCTGTCAGTAGGTTCGTGTTGAATCTGGAAGACCGACGCTGGAGTGAGACGAGGAGGGGGAGGAGCAGGAGGAGGGGAAGGAGAAGGAGGAGGGGGAGGAAGAGGACGAGGAAGAGGACGAGGAGGAGGAGGAGCAGGAGGAGGACGAGGAGGAGGAGGAGGAGGTCTTCGACCGAAGATCTTGGAAAGCAAAGACCTGGGCGATCGATGTGCCTGGACTCGGGGCCTCCCAGACAGCGTGTTCGGAGTGTCTTGGGAGCACTCTGGAGTCCTCGCAGGACCTACCTGGCGCCTCCTCTGAGGGGGCCCTCGGCTCTTGGGCGCGTACGGAGGCAATGTTGGGCCACCTTGGCGGCCTCGGTGGCCTTCCTGGGCCGTCTTGGAGGCCTCGGAGTGCCTTCGAAAGCGCCACGGAGGCTTCGGGATGAGGGCCTGGCGCACGCGGCAGTGCATGAGGAGATGGGGGGACCTCAGGAGACTTATACAAACACTTGGCAGTCTACAGCGCCTCGACGTGCAAGGGAGCACGGTGGCGGCTTCTACCAAGGAGAAGGATGCAGGAAAGGAGGGGGAGGAAAAGGGAGTTTAGGGAGGGGGAGGGCAAGAGACAAGGGGGAGGAGGGAGAGGAGGAGAAAGAGGAAGAGCGGGGGCGGAACAGGATGAGGAAGACGAAGAGGAGGAGCGAGGAGGAGGAGGAGGAGGAGGAGGAGGAGGGCGACATATGGATCCATTCGCGATGCGAATCTGAACTCCCCTCTCAGCACACTCCAGGACCGCCACAGAGCCCGAGCGAGATGTGCCCGACCGCGACGACGACCTGCGATACCACCCCAACCTCTCCGTGGAATACGGCCATGCTCATCGGCGACAGTGCATGCGAGACGACGAAGCGTGTGAGAGATGCCACCTCGGCGCGCGACCGCAGAAGACCACCCATAACAGCTTCATGGTCAGCAGCACTGCGCCCCACAGCGCCCCGCCACTCCCTGAGGAGATCTCGCCGCGTCGGTACTGACCCCCTGGAGGCGTACAGTCGGGGCCCTGAAGAAGGAACCCTTTTCGTTGGGGAGGGGCTCCGCGTTCCTTAAGTGTTTCACAGCTTGCCTCAGGCTTTCCTTATGTTTTCGACAGGCATTCGAAGGTTAACTCATGGAAAAAAGGGGCCTCGTTCCTTATTTAGGGTTCCTTAGGTCAACGCCCCGACTGTACTCAGGACGGGCGGTGGCTCCTACGAGCTCTCACGGGTATTGACCCCCTGGGGGCGTACCACAACGGAGTTGCGCATCAGCAGCAGCCCGGCAGCGGTCACGATGGCCTGCAGTCGGGATTCCCCATGGGCGGCAGCGCAGGCTGCGGCGCGGCCTCGGCCGCGGCAGCGATCGCATCCCCGAGGCTGTGGAGCACTGCGTCCAGGTCGGCGTTCCGGCCTCCGCGCAGCAGTGGTGCATCGCGAAGAATCGGGGGTGGACAGAACCCCCAACAGTGACACGTCGATTAGTGAACTGTCCGTTCTCGGTTTTCGAGAGGGCGCCGTGGCCGTTATTTTCCAGGCTTGCGCCCGCCAGGTTTGGGCCCCAGGTCGTTTTCACTAAACCACGTTTTACTGAAGGGAGGTCTGTCCATCCCCGAAAGAAGTCAACCACGGTGAGCGCTGCTCTCCCCCGCCGCCGCAGACTTGGCAGCACCTCCATCATCACGACGCACATCGCCAAAGTGGCCGTCCTGCGCGCTCGTCGGCTCTGGCGCGACCCGCGGTGCCTCTCCGGGCCCGGCGCTGCCGCCGCGACTTGCACGGGGGTCGATACAAACGGGGGTCAGTCAGAGCGCCGGATCTTGCAGGATCCTGCAGAGCCAGGGCTGCACTGACCCGGGCTTGGGTGCAGGATCCTGCGGGATCTTGCAGGATATTTCAAAGCTTGATTAACCCGGGTCTGGATTCAGCCGGGTTAGTAGATCCCCGTTGCACGTTGGGCGCCGCGGGCAGCGAAAGCGAGGCCACCTCGGCCGCCGCCGCCGCGGCAAGGGCTCTGAGCGCAGCCAGCTCGCACTCGATCTCCGCGCCGTCGCCGTCGCCAGCCGCCACTGCGGCACGAGCTCCGTCCCGTTCGCCAGGTATGGGGCCTGGGGCCTCTCCTCCTACTGCTCCTCCTCCTGATTCGGTGCACCTTACATGCGAGATCACTCGTCTCTCGTGTGATGCCTCTTGTGTGCAGTGTGATGGTGCCTAGCCTCGGCCTCCAGGCGATCCCACATGAGGTCCGAGGATTGGGCCAGAGGCAATCCGCTCGGCAGGGTGGTCGACAGGAGACCTCACATGCAGGCCTCACGCAGATCCGATCAGTGTCTTGTCAGGTGCGCTTCTCTTGTGTGCAGGTAGTGCAAAGGGCAGACAGACTGGGGTCGCAAGCGTCTCTTATCTTATATTATCTTATCCTCCTCCTCCTCCTCCTCCTCCTCCTCCTCCTCCTCCTCATCCTCCTCCCCCTCCTCCTCCTCCCCCTCCTCCTCCGCCTCCGCCTCCGCCTCCGCCTCCGCCTCCTCCTCCTCCTCCTCCTCCCCCCTCCCTCCTCCTCCTCCTCACTCCTCCTCCTCCCCTCCTCCTCCTCCTCTCCTCCTCCTCCTCCTCCTCCTCCTCCTCCTCATCCTCCTCCTCCTCCTCCTCAAGGGCCCGGAAATGGCTCTGGAAGGTCGCCGTCAACGCGTTCAGTGGCGCACCTTCAACTCCAGACGGCGAGCGCGAGGCCGGTCCAGTGGCGAGGCCCTGCCCCCTGTCTCGCATCGTTCGGCGTGCGCCTTGTTTGTCGCGAGGGCCCTCGAGGAGCCTCCCTCCCTCCTCCGCCCCCCTCCCCCCCCTCCATCCCACCCTCCTCCGCCTCCTCCTCCTCCTCCTCCTCCTCCTCCTCCTCCTCCTCCTGCCCCGAGGGGGCCCCTCCCGTAGGGGAGGGGTCGGGACCCCAGGGTCCTCCTGGCGCAGGCGGGGAGCGCCGGGCCCGAGGGGCGAAAATCCCCCGCACCCCGGGGGTCGCCGCCAAAGTGCGGTTTCCTTCCCCCGGGGGGGTCGCCAGGCCCCGTGTGCTTCCCCAGGGCGGTGCTGGGTCCCCCCCAGCACTCGCCGCTCTGGGGCGGGGCTGGCGGCTCGTCTCCGTCGTGTCGCTCGTCCGTCTCGTGTCGTTCGTGTCGCGTCGTTCGTTTCGTCCCCCTGTCGTGTCGTGTCGTGTCGTGGTCCCGGGGCCGTGAAACGCGGCCACCCATGGAGTGGGTGGTGGGTAGGGTTGGCGCTGAGCACGGCTCGCGCCCCCTACCCCGACCAGGGAGCGCGGAGCACGGTCTCCCAGCGTTCCCTGGTCGCGCTTAGGTCGCGCCACGGGGGCATGGCCCCGACCGTGGCGCGGCCTGCGCCGTTTTTTGGCGCCTCTCGCTGGCACTCGCCACGCCAGCGGAGTCATGTGGCTGATCTTGGGTTGACCCAAAAAAAAAAATCCTCCTCCTCCTCCTCCTCATCATCATCATCATCATCATCATCCTCATCCTCATCCTCATCCTCATCCTCCTCCTTTTCCTCCTCCTCCTCCTCCTCCCCGCATATTTAGGATGGGCATCATTGCCAAGGGCGCCCTTGCATCCTTGCCTCCTCGGCCCATCCTTGGCCACTTTCGCTGGCCGCGCCACGCCCGAAAAGTTTCGGAATGGGCGTCCAAGGCCCTTGCATCCTTATCGCGTATCCTTCTGAAGCGGGCCGGCTGCATGCGCACGAGGCCGAACACAGACGCGCGGGGGGTGGGCGTCCGAGGGAGGCGCCGCCAGGGGGGTTCCAGCTCCGATCCACGAGGAATCTGCGCGGACCGCCGAGCTTTTACGTTCATGTCAGTGTCTCTTCCCCTTTTCTCGGCCGCTGCTTTCTCCTCGCATGCTTCGCCGGCGACGGGCATCAATTGAGGCATTCCGCTCCGCTCCTCCTTTTCGTGAGCGTTCTCTGGTTTGGCGTGTCGACATCGGGCGGACGGGGGGGAGGGGAGCGGACCTCTGCTTAATGCGACTGTTTGCAACAGTGTGTCGTGTGTGGGGGGAGACTCCACCTGCTTGAAGGACGCGCCAAAAACAGCCAAGATCAACTCCGTAGGGGGGGCAGGGCCCGAGCCGATCGGCACAACAGTGAACAAGAAAACGACCACTCCCTCGGCCGCTGCGTTCGTTTCCGAGGTTCCGTCGGCGATGGCGGCCGCCGGGGAGAAGGAGGAGGAGGAGGAAGAGGAGGAGGAGGAGGACGAAGAGGAGCAGGAGCAGGAGCAGGAGCAGGAGCATGAGGGAGGAGGAACAGGAGGAGGAGGAGGAGGAGTTGGAAGAGGAGGAGGAGGAGGTGGAGGAGGAGGAGGAGGTGGGAAGGAGGAGGAGGAAGGAAGAAGAAGACAGGAGAAGGAGGAGGAGCACGCGCAGAGAAGAGGAAAGTGAGGAGGCGGACGAGGAAGGGAAGGAGAGAGAGGGAGGAGGAGGAGGAGGAGGAGGAGAAGGGAGGATGGGGGAAGGAAGGGGGGGGGCAAAGGAAGGAGTTAGGAGGAGCAGGGGGGAGGGGTGGGGAGAGAAAGGGGAGAAAGAGGAGGAGCAGGAGGAGGAGGAGGAGGAGGGGGAGGACGATCACGACGAAGAGGACGAGGATGATGTGAAGCAACATGAGGGTGAGGTGCAGGGAGACAGGTCGACGACGAGGAAGAGACGAAGGAGCAGGACCGAGACGGTGATAACGTGCCAAGAAGGAGCGCATGGTCAGTCAGGCCTAGGGCCTCGGATGAGAGTGGACCACTCGAATTTTCTATAACTCTTCAGAGTGTGCTGGAACGCGTTGAAATGGGCGCGGTGTCCGATTCATCTTCCAGACTCGCCAACGTTCGAAGATTACCATTTTATCCGTGTCAATGGTCCTTGATATCGAACTCATCCTTAGGCGCAGCGCATCGCGAGGGGATCAAGTGCGCGCCCAGCACGGGAGAAGTCCAGTCCTCCCTCCCTCCTCCCGCTGCTTCTTTTTCACAGTTTGAGGGTCAGGCAGACATGCAAGCGTCATGCGCTGGTGCGTCGCTTGTTTTCTGTGTAAATATGTTGCCTTGGCTGCCTTGGGCTGCTCAAACTCCTCATTCGTCACAGCTACTCCTTTTGGAGACAGGAGGGGGGGTAAGGAAAGGGAGGACAGGGTTGGATGAGGACGCCTGAGGAGGAGGAGAAGGAGAAGGGAAGAGGAGCGGGGGTCAGCGGGAGCTTTCTCCACCCGGAGGACGTCATCAGCTTGTGCCATTCCCTGGACGAGTTGCAAGCGAGCTTGCGGTGTGGGGCATAGGCTCGGGACAGGGAAGTATCTATCCGCCACCACCATGGCTCCGCGGGCGTGATTTGGGACCATGGGTAGTTGGCCGTGGTCAAAGACAGTTGTTTCTAACCATACTGTGTTGAGTTGGCTCCTCGTTTTGAATCAGCAGCGCCAGGCGTCTCCTTTCTTACATCCGTCCCTCTTCCCCCACTCCTGCATCCTGCTCTCCGCATGTGCGCACCGTCATCATCACCACCACCATCATCATCACCCAAATTTGCCGCACCTCTCACGCTTCGTGGCCCCATAGGAAGCTCCACCTGAGGCCCCAGTGGATTCGCCCGCATGCCGCCACCGCCCCATTTTGGCACACCCCTCACACGTCTCGTGGCCCCGTAGGGAGCTCCACCTAAGGCCCCGAGAGGTTGCGCGCGAATGCCGCCGCCTCCCTACTTTTTGACGCACCCCTAACATGTTTCGTGGCACCCATAGGGAGCTCCACCTAAGGCTCCAGTGGTTACGCCCACATGCCGCCGCCGCCACCCCACTTCGGCGCACCCCTCATACGTTTCGTGACCCCCCTGATGAGTTTCGTGGCCCCATAGGAGCTCCACCTAAGGCCCCAGTGGTTGCGCCAGCATGCCGCCGCCGCCCTACTTTGGACGCACCCCTCACACGCTTCGTGGCCCCATAGGGAGCTCCACCGCCACCTAAGGTCCCAGTGGTTGCGCCTGCATGCCGCCGCCACTCAACTTTGGCGCACCCCTCGCACGCTTCGTGGCCCCACAGGGGGCTCCATCTAGGACCCCAGTTGTTTGCGCCCGCATGCCGCCGCCACCCATCTTTGTGCACCGCTCACACGCTTCGTGGCCCTATAGGGAACTCCACGTAAAGCCCCAGTGGCTGCGCCCCCCATGCCGCCACCGCCCCACTTTGGCACACACCCCACACGCTTCGCGGCACCATAGGGAGCTCCACCTCAGGCCTTGGCCCGTCTTTGGGTCCTCTTGGGCCCGAAACAATCGTGCGGGAAGAGACTTGGCAATTTCGGTTCCGGGTCCCTTGAACTAAGGATTGAGGACAAAAGCTACAGGGAATGGAGCAAGGAACCCGAGGACACTCCAGCTCGTGCCTCCCAGGCACGGTGGCGGATTACCCATCTAAACGAGATGCCAGGCACACGAAGATAAATTATGCGGAATTTCTTTGCCAGTGTGAACTTCTCCGAGGGTACAAACAGGGCGCAAAACATGACATGCGGGTAGACAGCAGAAGCGGAGTTCGCATTTCGTCTGGGAGTTTTTGTGAACATAAGCTCGCGCTTGTGGTCTAACCGGTCGCAGACAGGTGGAAGTCGTCGAACCTCGGGGGCAAGTTTTCATCACGAGTGGCGGGCGCAGAGGCACATGCGGGGCGCAATCGTGCCTGTCCCTCTACAGGAGTAAATTCAAAAATTTCAATAAAACAATATGGGAGCCATTTTCCTAGTATGTTTGATTATGTTGGGGTGTTTTTCTGACTATTGACAATTTGTCGTCAAAAATCCGCCTGTAGGAGGACACGCCCGACCTGATGCTACACACGGGCGAACTGCGTGGGACATTAATTCCAAATTGATGTGATGAGGATGCGGGTGTTGCTTGCGGTAATGCGGGCCGGTTTTTGGACGAAAGGTGGTGTTTCCTCATTCCCGCTACGAAGATTCATTCATTTTGGCTTCTTCTAGATGAATGATCCTCGCAACGAGAAAGCAGGAACACAAAGCCAGCTCGTGGGCGTCGTACAGTCGTTCAGACAAAAAGCCAAATCGGTGTGGAAACCGCTCTGCGACCACCTGTGAACCCCGCCCCTGCGGGTCGGGTCGGCACTGGGGCATTGGCAACACCGCTGGGGCTCACTTGGCTGCCTTCGCCCTTCGAGCTCTGAACCCCCCGCCAGTTCTTCAGACATCGGACCTGCACGGGCAGGGCCCACACGTCGTTGCCCCACCGCCCCCACGGGAGGGGGACGGTGCCGACTGGCGACTCCTGGTGATGAGGGGGACGAGGACAGGGGAACGAACAACGGCACAAGCATAAAAACTCGGAGGTCTGCGCGGAGTTCTCGGATCGGCGCTGGACCCCCCTTCCCTGGAGCGCGGAGCGCGCCAGGGGCGGCGCCGGAGGCGCCGCCAGGGGGGGTCCAGCGCCGATCCGAGAAATCCACACGGACCTCAGAGTTTCCATGTTTATGTCATTGCTCGTTCCCTTGGAGGAGGAGCAGGAGCAGCAGGAGGAGGAAGAGGTCAGTAATGGATTGTGCTGGCGGGGAAGGGCGAGGAGGAGGAGGAGGAGGAGGAGGAGGAGGGAGGTCACAGGAGCGGCGAGCACCGGCGGGCGGCACCGGGGGGCGGAGAGGCCCCCACCCCCGGCAGGCGCCCGGACCATGAGCTCTGCCTGCCTGGTGTGGGCCGCCGCCGCTGGTGGCGGCCATGAGCTCTGCGCCGCACTCCTTCCCCCCCCTGCTCCGCGCCCCCCCCCTCTGCTCCTCCTCG